AACATTTTTCAGAGCTGAAAGACTGAGAGTCAAAGTAAAATCTGCCCAGAGAAAGAATCCCATACTTACTTTGAGAACAGCCAAAGATTTCACTGGTGCTCTTGTGGCAAGAGTTATCATGAACGAAGATGACATAAGTGCTCAAACTTCCTGCGTTCCAGAAAGCCAGGTGGGGGACGAGAATCTGGTGACACAGAGACAGCCATAAGCACTTTTTTTATTTTTATTTTATTTTTTAATATATTTTTATTGTGAAAATACTGTATAGAGGGGTTACAATTACGTGGGTAGGATAATGAGCACGCTTCTTATCAAGCATTGTAGCCTCCTGCTTTGTTTCCCCTTCCCATCCCTTCGTATCCTCCCCCCCTTCATCCCCCCACACCAAAGTTGTAAAGTTCGTTTTTCAACATAATGACTTGTACATCTCATTGTTGCAATGGGTCCTCCTGTATCCTTGTTTTAACAATTTGTTTTTTCCCTTCCCCTCCACATATACCAACATCATATATAGTGAAAGCAGGGGTTATACCATGGGGGAGGGACATACAAGGCAACAAAGACATAATCTTATAAATATGTTAGAAACAATCGCATGAAAGATCTCTCTCTCTCTCTCTGTCTCTCTCTCTCTCTTGTCAGTCGTGGGGCTTGAGCTCTAGGCCTGGGAGCTGTCCCTGAACAATTCAGCTCAAGGCTCATGCTCTATCACTTGAGCCATCGCGCCACTTCTAGTTTTTTGGTGCTTTTTTTTTAAATTGTGATTAAGTGATTACATAATTTCCCAAATTTCACAGTATTGTCGAATAATGATGCTCATTTAAAGTCACAAGCTCATTCTAACTCTCCTGGAGCAAATTGTCTATCATGGTCTATAACATATAACGGTGTACACATATACACCATACATGTGATCAGCAGCATGGGGATATTTAGTAGTGGTTTGACCAGATGAGTGGAAGTTCTTTGTTTCTTAAGTCCTGTTAATTTTGTCATATCACCTAACATTTTGGATTTAGCATCCACTTATCAGGGAGACCATGTACCATTTGTCTCTTTGTTCTTGGCTTACCTCGCTCAACGTGATTCCTTCTAGCTGCATCCATTTCCTTGCAAATGCCATTATTTTGTTATTTCTAATGGCTGCATAATATTCCATTGTGTATAGATACCACAATTTTTGGATCCATTCATCTGTGGTGGGGCATCTGGGTTGTTTCCATATCCTAGCTATTGTGAACAGTGCTGCAATAAACATGGAGGTGCATGTGTCCTTGTATATTGGTTCCTGTTGTTCAGGGTAGATGCCTAGAAGTGGTATGGCTGGGTCATAAGGGAATCTGGTGACACAGAGACAGCCATAAGCACTTTTGAAGCCAGCTATCTTCAGCGATAGGAGTAAGCCAATTTAGGACCATTGAGATTCCAGATTACTCTGCAGAATTGCGGGCCAAGATTGCTTGGTAGTTTGGTTTCAAGAAAAGCAGGTCATCTTCCAATTCTTCCAAGTATGAAATGTTGGTGACTAATTTTAAAACTTGTAATTGCTATTCCTAGGAAAAGGGCCCATGGGTCTTTAATTTATATCACATGCTCGAAACTATGCCCAGAGGATGTTCGTTTTTTAATGAACATGCACGCAAGAGTTCATAGTAGAAACTCTTAATGATGTGAAAAGAAGTTTCTGGAAAAATTTCAGCCCTTCCTGGTCACTAGAAATCCCACACAGTAGGGACACCCTTCCCCCTGATGTCTTTGTCTTCCCTGGCTCTCCTACTTAGCCTGACAGCTACCTCTTATCTGCTGCCATGGTGCATTCTGCCACCCGAAACTGTGACCCTGCTTTCCTGTTTGGATCTCAGCAGCTTCCTGAATATTGTTCCACTGACCTCCAGCCCACACACCACTGTCCTGCTTCCCCTCTGTCTCTGGAAGTCCTCAGCCAACCTGCTGCTCACTGGCCTCTTCCCAGGGGAGCCCAGTGGGCAAAAGATGGAAGAACAGGTTCACTCAGGCTGGAGACACTGTTTGGTCTTATAACAGTGATGACTAGTGAGGATCTGCAGGCCATGTGGCACTTACCAAAATGTCAATCATGAGTGAATTTTATTTTATTTATTTTTTTTTAAATTTATTGTGAAAATACTGTACAGAGGGGTTACAATTACATGGGCAAGATAATGAGTACATTTCTTATCAAGCATTGTAGCCTCCTCCTTTGTTTCCCCTTCCCATTCATGAGTGAATTTTATAGCACAAGCTTCATCCAAGACAGAGAAGGCCTTGTGCCATTTTGCTGTTGTGGGAACTGGGAGATAGTGCTAGAAGAGGTTGAAACTGACTACCTCATCTCAACTGATATAATCCAGAGAATGGATGAAACTTTTTGGGAAACTCTGTAGGTATGAATTCCAAGAGGAACCTTTGGTCAGTTTGGGTCCAGCCATGGGCATCATGATTTCTACTCAGCTTTCTTCCATCATCTTTACCCAGTTGTGGTAGAGATAATGCTTCCACATTTTCTCTGTTCTTTCTTATGGAAGCTATGTTTTTCCTAAGCTTAATTTTCAGGGTTTCCTGGCTCTAAATTCTTAGGACTAAAATTAGTGGAGAAGCATTCAAAGTCCCTCAGTACTACCTCAACTACTCATTCTAGCTTCAATCTCTTCTCTGTCTCACACTGCCTCTGCTCTGGCTCTAGCTGTATTGACAAATCCCTGACTCCTACTATAACTCTTGGTAATGTTATTTCCTTTGCTCAGGACCTCTGCCCTAATAACTGTTTCTTTCAAGTTTCTATTCATCCATCAAGACTTCTAGTTCCTGTGTTCACTATGACATAGTCTTCTCATTTTTCTGACTATGTAGTTTTCTTTTCTGTCTCTAAGATTTTACATGCTCTCCATCTCTTATCACCTTATATTGATCATAAATATGCTACTTTCCTATATCTTTTGCTTGGCTGTGAGTCCTTGAAAGTCTTCTCTGCAACTCAAGAGGCTCCCGGTTCATATAGGAAAACAAGATGTGTTTGTTGGATAAAAGAAAAAGTAACCAGGTGCTGGTGTCTCACACCTTTAACCCTGGCTACTCAGGAGGCAGAGATCTGAGGATTGTGGTTGGAAGCCACCCAGAAAAGTCCATGAGACTCTTATCTCCAATTAACCACAAGAAGCCAGGAAGTAGAGCTGTGGTTCAAATGGTGGAGAGCTAGCTTTGAGCAAAAGAGTTCAGGGACATCACCCAGGCTCAGAGTTCAAGACCCAGGAATGGCAAAAAGAAGAAGGAGGAAGAGGAGGAAAAGAGGTAGGAGGAGGAGGAGAAGATGATGTTGACAACATGACAGTGAAGTAGTCATTGATAGAAAACATCAATTGTGCTAGGTACTTTATTGACATTCTTTTTAATCTTCACATCAAGGTTGAAAGTTAGACTTTATGATCATAGAGCACAGAAAGATTACATAACTTGCTTGAAGTATGACTCCAGTGCAGAGCACTTGCCCAGAAAGTGCAAGGTCCTGATTTCAAACCTCAGTACTGCCAAAATAAATAAAAATAATTTCTAAAATGATTGGCTGGGTACAGGGGTTTACACCTGTAATCCCAGCTACTCCTGAGGTGAAGATGGAGAGGATCCAGGTTGCAGGCCAGCTCCAGTAAGAAGTTGGCAAGACCCTATTTCAGCCAACAAACTGGGCATATACCTATCTTCTCCTTTATGTGAGAAGTATAAGTAGAAGGTCATGTTGGGCAAAAAGGCAAGACTATCTGACACATAACTCAACTGATGCACAAATCCCTGACTCTACTGACACATGGCTCAACTGATGCAGTTCCTGACTAACAAGTGCAGGCCCTGAGCTCAAACCCTAGTACTACCCAAATAACAAGCACTTAAATATAAAAAAGATCAAGTAATTTGCTCAAAGACACACAGCACATAAACAAGGAGCAGGCATTGGAACCAGATATTTCTTAGCTTCCAATAGGCAGAGCTGCTTTTTGTTCCTAACTAGTGAAGTTCCTGCTCAAATTCCCTTTTCCTTCTGTATGTGGGGAGAATCTAAGTCCCCCCCCCCACCTCTCCAGCCACTGCAGCTCCCTGCACTGACTAAGATAAGAGCCTAAAGACCAGGGAACAACTTCTCAGGACTCTGGCCTTGGAAGCAATGTGATGCTCCTTAGAGGACTCTTACTCAGAGACATCTCCAGTTTGTGTTGCCTTAGATTTAAGGCCAAGGGAAGAAAGAGGCGCAACTGGAATGAAAAGAGCTGGGTTCACTGCAAGCTGTGGCGTTTACGAGGTCCACACAGCACTATACAGAACCCACTTAATATGAAAGCAGAATGAAAAGAAAAGAGGGCTCTTCCCAGAATTAACACTGCACTGAGGGCTGGAGACACGGCTCTGCCTTGGTGTTGTCAGGCTGCAGCAGGGCCACTAGAGGTAAAGACTTGGGAAGGTGGGACTCACTTTCAGGGAAGGTGGCCATGGGCATGACCGATGCCATTATTCTGATGGAGCAAGAAGCAGAACCAATTGTGGAAGATAGTCTGCTATGCTCACAAGCACTAGGAACTGGGCCTCTAGCAGGAGAGTACTAAGGGCCTACCAGCACTTGGCAGTCAAACAGATAGAGAAGAAAAATAATAGGTACCAGTTTCATATGGTGGGCATGTGAGAAAATGCCTAGAGTTTCCCAGACATACCTGGGAACAATTATGAGATGAAAATATTTTAGCAGCTGGTAGGTAGTAAAAGAACTAGAAAGCTACGAGGTCTTATTGCTAATGCGGACTAACTTGTACCTCCCAGTCTGCTTAGGCCTGTTGAAGTACATCTTTATGGATCTCTTATACATCCCACAAACAAGCAAACACACTGCATTGCTGTCCTGATCAAGATGTGGTCATAATGCTGGAGTGAAAGCTGCCACTCCAGCCCTGGAATGCTCTCTTAGCGGAAGCTTAACTCCATCTGTGTTTATGCTTGCCCAGGGCCCTCCTTCCGCAGCACTGTTTCATAACCCACCTACAATCATCCTGACGGGGGATGCCAGTTCACCAGAAGGAGAAACGGACAAAAACCTGGCCAACAGGTACACTTCCCAGGTGCCTGAACCTTGTGTTATGACAGTCAACCTTTCCTAGAACGTGGACATCAGATAGTGTATTTTTCAAAAGTTAAATTGTTATTATAAAGGTCATGGGTATACAGAGGGGTTCCAGTTACACCAGTCAGGTAAAGAGTACATTTATTTTGGACAATGCCACCCTTTCTCTCAGAATAATTCTATTCTGAGTTTTTGATTCCCTTGGTTGATATACATCATCAAGTGACTTTTTTTTAAAGTAGGAGACAAAACTTAGGACATTATCTTTCTTCCCCAAATGAGTTTTCATCTCTTGAGTTTAGCCCTTTGCATTATGCTTGATTTTAAGAAAAGCACAAATGGTCAGGGAAAGTTTTCCATAAGAACTTCCTTAATACCTGCAGAGAATCAGAGGCAGAAGTGTTTCACTGTAGAATCTTGCCCTGCGCACAGCGGGTCCCACATGGACACTGGTTCATGAGCACAGCCATATCCCTGTTTTAAGCAGCATGGGTTTATGCATCAATCCAGCTGGAATGAGATTTGGGGGTATAATTTTCAAACACCTAAAAAAAGAGACAATTCTCACACACATCCATTGTGATCAAATATCAAACAAAGGTTTACTTATCCATCACCAAGGGAAAGAGCAGGACAACAGGTCAGATTCAAAGAAGGAAATGAGAAGTGGGGGTACACGTGTAGTGAGTGAGGAGGAGAACACTGATTCAAATGGCAAAGTCAGATCTGTAAGAGCTTAGTGTTCATTCTCTTTGTCCCTCATATTTAATAATTTTAATGTGAAATAAGTATAAGTAATCCAATACCATCATGGGGTGACAGACAAGGGTAAGCCAAAGTTCTCTCACCTACGCTCCCCTTTTATAGGTTCAGATTGGCCTGGAGCCAATCAGAAATCATAGACTTCTCTACAAGACCACAGTTAATCAGATTTTGTGGAGTTTTTACATGTTAGCTGTTAGCTTAGAGTCTGCGCCTGAGTAGATAGTAAAATACTATAGTAAGAAAGTTACGTCTCCTTAGCGTAGTGACTGGAACACTTGAGTAAGCATCAGGATAAATGGAAACTTATTGAATGATGCCCCCACCCCCTGGGCCATTTCCAGGATGTCTGATCCTATATTTGAGGTGGGTCTTGAGAATTTCTAGTTCTAACAAGTTTCCCAGGAGAGAGGCAGAGGCCTCCTGCATGTGTTTTTAAGGCGATGCTCTAGGATTATGTGGAAAGACAATTCAGGTCTAAGTTGTTTTCCTAATGATCACTCTCTTCTGTTTTTCAGAGCTCCCACTCCCAACCGGAGGCTCTCTCACCGGCACTTGAAAGTTTCCACAGCATCACTAACTTCTGTGGGTAAGGGCTAGGTCAATCTGAAGGTGTCTATGAGCAGCTGGCATCTTGTCTGGGTTCAAGGTAGCTCACTCTAACTACCTTTGCACCCCCCTCCCTGGTGGCAAGCAGTGCCCCCTAATGTTGGAAATGTGATGTCTGGTTTACATTTTGTCAGTTGAAAAGTCAAGATGGTGAGGGGGAGGGCATGAAGAGGAAAACGAAGAGAGCCAAAGAGAGAGAGAGAAAGAACATCTGGTTGATGCTTAGTTCTGGAGCTCAAAACGTCCAGTCCTTCATTCTTCAAGGACTCAGCCTGGCTGGTGTGTTGAGTATAAGGCTGGCCAATCTGATAACCTGCTGGGTCTCCAGTTTTTCAGTCTTTCCTGGGTCACTGGAGCTTAAGCATGACACAGACTTGGTCCCTGCCTTCATGCTGATCATAGTCTATAAGGAGACTGAAAAGTGAGCACACATAATCACAACGATATAAAACCCTTCATAGAAGAGCTTGGAAACCCCAGCAAGAGGAGGCCATTTTTTTTCCTAGAAAAGAATAATGTTGGTCAGGCATTCTAGAGGAAAGGTATTTGAGCTTCTGTCTCATTCCATCTCTCAAGTCTCCTTTCTTGTGTATTAGTTCTTCTTGGGCAGGCCCTTCATTCATGCTAAGTGGCTATTAGCACTTCCAACCTTTCAAATACAGAGTTCTTCTTCTTCTCCTCCTTCTCCTTCTCCTTCTTTTGTGGTCATGGGGCTTGAACTCTGGGCCTGGGCATTGTCCCTGAACTCTTCAGCTCAAGGCGAATGCTCTACCACTTCAGCCACAGCACCACTTCCAGTTTCTGGTAGTTAATTGGAGATAAGTCTCATGGATTTTCCTTGCCTGGGCTGGCTTTGAACTGTGATCCTCAGATCTCAGCCTTCTGAGTAGCTAGGATTTCAGGAGGGAGCCACGGGCACCAGGCTGGAGTTCTTCTCCTTAATATCCCCTACACAATTTCCATGAGTGCCTCACATACCATCCCTGAGCCAATCCCTGTGGCCAACTGGATTGCATTCATTCAGTGACCATGGCTGGTACACATTCTTACTCTTGGTACTTGGGGTGGGGTTGTGGGTAGAAATGGTTAGTTCCTCTGAATTAAAGTTAGTGGTGAATTAGTTGGTTTTATCAAGTGAAATGAGTAACTAGTACCAGAGTGGGAAAGGAGGCTGAAAGGAGAATAAGAGCTGGAAGAAGCTTAGAGGAATTGAAGTGGAGGGAGCTTGGAAGGAGTTTATGGGACCTGCAGAAGTGGATGACCCAGTTTGGATGTCACCATGATGAGCATGAGCTGTTCTCAGCAGATGAGGTTGCTAGGAAGTTCACTCAGAGAGGCAGTAGAGGATGGGATGGAGGATATGGTTTGAAAGCTGGATCAATTAGATGTTTGATATAGTTATTAGGTAAGTGCTATTGAGCATTAGCTGAGGGGCAAGTTTCAGGTAAATGCCAGGTCTGGGTCAGGTGGTTGGACGTGGAGTCTGAGGAAGAAAGACGTATGTAGAATGACACTCACGCTCCTCAGTAGCTGGTGAGAGATGGCGTCATTTAGTCAGCTTGTGCAGAGCTGCTGCTGGAAAGGGATGGTTTCAGGGAATGAGAATATGTGAATTAAGGGAAAAAGGGTTCAGAAGGTGGTTGTAGGATGTGATATGTCTAGGACCCAAAATCTTTGGATTGCTCCCAGATCAGAAGAATGAACCAATCGGGGAAGCTGATAACATGGACAGGGGGCTCGGGCTGGCTTTTCTTTAATAGCAGGGTTTAAGGGCAGCTCTGGGAATCCAAGGTGATTTCATGACTATGTGTGACAGAAGTTAGCAGCTACAAACCAGAAAGCAATCTGAGGAAGCTTCTGTCTCCATGAAACAGCCTTCATGCACAAGCACCTGGCTGCAGCTGCTGGCTGGGTCAGCTCTGGGTAGCATCTGGGCTGAGGTGCGGTTTGGTAGGGTCTCTCAGCCCAGGACCAAGGATGCAGTGATTCTCACGCCAAGCTTACTTTTCCCTCTGCAGACCCTGCGGGGCATGTCATTGACCTGGTAAATGATCAGCTACCAGACATCAGCATCTCAGAGGAGGACAAGAAGAAAAATCTGGCGCTGTTGGAAGAAGCCAAGTCGGTGAGTGAGCGATTCCTGACCCGCCGTGGAAGAAAGTCCAGGAGCAGCCCCGGAGACTCCCCATCAGGTAGGGCATGGGAAGGAGGGTGCAGGTGATGTCCCTAGGCCCCTCCAAGGTAGGGGGGAGGCTAAGCATAAGGAGAGGATGACTGCAGTGAGGTGGTTGCACTGCAATGAGAACCTTGCTTTCGGGGAGTGTGTACTTCCTGCTTACCTTCTCTTAGGTCTCTTGGTCCCAGGAGGTCTGAATCTTATGAAAAGGATCCTGCCAGGAGAGGCTGTCTTATTTAGTTCCAGAAGCCTAAAATCCCTACCCAACTCTAGCCCTGTGTGTGACTGTCATGGTGACTTCCTGTTTTGTTAATAAACACTAGCCAGGATGATACACATGCCTGTGACTTGGGTCCCCTCTCTCCTCTAAGAGCTTCCATTGCTGCACAGAGACAAATCCTCTGTGGTGAGGCCATGTACACGGAGCCCTGGGTGGCTCTGCATGGTGGAGTCCTTCCCCAGGAGGCCTTGGCCTGTGGGTACCTCTGCAAATATCAGAGGGAGTCATCCTGGATTCCTGTGGTCTTCAGACATTTGGGGTTAGAAGACATGGTTTCCTGGGGACCTCAGCTATCCTCATGTTAGAGTCTTCTTCCTGAGCACAAAGTTGAAGCAGGTTTTAGACAAGTCTGAATATACATAGGAGGATAAGGAGAGTATTTGGAGTCAGCGCTATCCTGGGACATCGAGCATGTAGCCTTCAGAGATCCTACCTGTCGATCAGTGTCATTAATTCCTTTAAAAGCCTCGAGTTCAGGCTCAGCAGGCAGAGGAGTGTGACTCCCCCCTGTACCCTCTCATTACCTGAGGGCCCACTCTGTCAATATGGATGGGTGGGCTGTAGTAGGGGGTCTCTTAGGACAGTCCACAACTAGTTTCTGGCCCCAACAAAGCAGGCCCAGTTCCAGGGATGTGAAGAACTGGAAAGGATTGTTCTGTGAGGCTGAAGTTGTGACCCTTCATGAATGCCAGTTGGTTTGTGTCTGTCCCCACAGTTGCCTCCCCAGACCTTAGCCCCAGAACCTCTCCTGTACCTTCTAGAAGCAGCTCACTTACCGTCTCCACCCCACCAGGTGAGGCCTGGCACCCAGGTACTTCTGCTCCAAGATCTCCCATAGCGGGGACCATTCAGCCTGGCCCAAGAGGATGCTTCCTGTGACATTTCCCTCCCACCTCCACTTTGCAGCTTTCCCATTAAAGATGCCTCCTGGGTTTCCACTCCAGGGGCTCCTAGCTAGGCCTGGTTAAGTAGCCTCAGAGGATACTGATATACTATTCATTGAGGTAGACCAGTGTAGTGAGGCAGCAAGAGACATGTTAGGGTGAGAATGGAGAGAAGGTTATGGGAAGGGGTTGTAATGGGTTTTCTTTGCCCTGGGAGGACTCAGTGAGAAATCTCCATAGAGCTTATTTGGAAAGGCCTCTCTTATTTGGGCCTTCTTTCAATGGGCTGTGTCCAGAACTATACCCTCCAGCCAGCATAAACAATATTCCGTCTAGGTAAAGCTCAGGTTCAAGTTAGGAAGCCTGGGTTCACATCCCAGTATGGACACTTCCTGCCCTTAGAGGTCCCTCTTCCTCAGTTGCTTCACATGATGTCTTTGGAGAATCAGTGAGAGCCACTGCAGAACCTGCCTGGCATTCACGAGGCACACAAAAACACTGGTGTTTCTGGCTCTTGGGGCTAAGATTGCTAAGGGAAAATGTTGTGGGAGGGAGGAGGTTCTGTAGCAAAAGGCTACAGCTGAGGGTCTGGGTGCTGGACATCACTTCTTAGTGTTGGGACCATTCTAGGTTTGGATGCATGCAGCAGCCCACAGTCCCTTCTGCCCGGAGCACCACCACAGGTCTGTATGTGGCCCACTGGTCTGTATCTATTCCACTAGTCCCTACTCTCCCCCTAATACCAGGAGGTCCTCTGTGACCCCTGAGTGAGGTGCCGGGGAGGCTTTTTGGAGGACATTTTGGGAGGGAAGCAGGTCTCCCCTGATTTCAGGCTGATCCATGTCTACTTCCTACAGCAGAAGGGCAATGAGGCCGACGTCTCTTCATCTCACCCTGGCGAGCCTGTGAGTCTGAGCTTTGTCCAATTTAGAGGATTTAGGTGTGGGGACTCAGCCTCTTAGAAGCTTAAACTGGTCTGTGGTTAGCCTCTGTCTCTGTCTCTTTCTGTCTCTGTGTCTCTCTGTCTCTGTCTGTCTGTCTCTGTCTCTGTCTCTCTGTGGACAGTGAAGGAATCATCAGATACTTCTGCCTTATAATGAGACAGAAGTGGGGCGTCCTTCAGAGCAGTCATGTTCTCAAGCCTCCCCAGTGAGGCTAGCAGAGCGTAGCAAACCCCCAGGTCTAACCCCTGGGCAAAGCAGCCACCACTCCTGTCAGCACCAGGAAATTTTCAGGAAAGCTCAACTCGCAGTTGGGATTCTGCTGGAGGTGGCCAGGAAAATCTCATCACTGTTGATGAGAAAATCATAGCACCCCACATCTTGCAGGAGCAAGGTACCCAAGTACCGCAGGTGATGCAGAGGGCAGGTTAAAATTCAGTCATACCTGGAACTGAATCTGGATTAGAATCTTCTAGAAGAGCGTTAACACTTACATAGATTTGTTCATAGATTCCCAGACACAGACTCAGTGTCCCCTCACTAAGCAGGCTTCCTGAGGAATGAAAGAAGAACATGAATGGCAAAACTTCTGAGCAGTAAGATCACCTTGTCTGGGGCTCTTATTCTCTTTTGCATCATGGAGCTCTCTGAGAATTCCAGAAGGCAGTGGATTCTCTTCCCAGAAAAATATAACCCTCAACCCCACAAACATGCCATTTGTATACAATCTCAGAAGGTTTCCAGACCTAGTAGGGAGAGTGACTTTCTCTAGAGTGATGGATCTTGCCAAGACTAGAATCTGGGCAACTGACTTGGAGACAAAACTGCCTTATATCCAACTCTCCTAAGCTCCTAGTTCTTGGGTTGGTTTGGCTGGTTTTGAATTGCTGGCCTTTTCTGTTTGTGTATCTTCTTTACTGGCTCAGATCTGACTAAGAGGCTGTCTGTCCCCTTGCTACCTGGCCCACTACACTCCCTCCCCTCTTCCCCACAAACACCAATGAGCCCCTGAGCAAGGACTGTGTCACCTCCTTAAACTGTCTCCAGGGTCATAAATTTACTTCTTTTCTTCCAGAATATCCCCAAAGGGCTAGCTGATTGGAAACAGAATGACCAGAGGAAAGTGTCTCAGGGCAGGCTGATTCCTCGCTCTCCCACAGTTGAGAAGACCAAAGAGCTTGCAATAGAGCAAAAGGAAAACTTTGATCCTCTGCGGCACCCTGAGACCACACCCAAGGGCCCAGCTCCTGTCCCAAGCAGTGGTGGGAAAATGGCCCTGAATAGCCCCCAGCCTGGCTCTCCTGAGAGCGAACTGGGGAAGATGCTCCTGAAGACAGCTAAGGAGGACAATCCTCTGCCAAGAAGTCCAGCCCAAGGCTCAGCAGGGGTGGCTTCCCCTGGTCCCCAGGGAAAAGGCTCATCTGGAGAGCCCCTGGGGTCCAAGGTTGGCACCAAAGCTGAACTGCATGCGCCCATACCCCGGCCCCCTCTGATACGGGGGGTCTCCTGGGACAGTGACCCTGAAGAGCCAGGTCCCCGGCTGCAGAAAGTACTGGCCAAGCTTCCATTGGCTGAAGAAGAGAAAAGGTTTCCAGGCAAAGCCATCAGCAAGCCGGCCAAGGTGCCTGGACTCAAAGACTTCCAGATACAAGTGCAGCCTGTGCGCATGCAAAAACTGACCAAGCTCCGAGAGGTGGGTCCCTGTGGGCCCGCTGGGCAGGGTGTGCATGCCATGTCTCCCCTGGGCTGCAGTTTGGACCTGATACCAGTCCCTGGGGTAGGGCAGCTGTGGGCCTAGACTTGGACTCATGAGGCCCTAAAGGTTTCAACCTGAATAGCTAGATCCACCAGTGTGGCATCTCCGTAACACCAGTTTCTGATACTATGATCGCCTTTTATAATTGTTACTAGGCAGAGGTCAGTGTGGGATGTCATTGGCCACATAAAGCCACATTTCAGGGGAAGGTGGGGGTATGGAGGGAACATATAGGCCCTCAGTCCAGTCTGTTCTCCTCCTCCAGCTGGAGCTGATGGCTTATAAACAGGAGCCCTTGAGAGACTTCCTGGTCAGACCTACTACTGGGTTTTTTTCTTGTTGCTATAATGACATCCACTTGTTTACCATGGGCATTGGTGGGGGGAGGCGGCAGAATAGATTGCGAAGGACACAAGAAGTCCCCACCCAGAGGTCAACTCAGACAGGCCAAAGATTCCACGGAATCCTATGGAATCAGACTGGAATTCCATAGGATGGGGCCTGTCCCCCCTCCCACCCAGAGGGTATGTGGGGCAGGAAAGGAAGCAAAGTACGCTAGCAACTCTAGCGTGAGTGAGGAAGTTCCTTTGTTAACAGGATGTAGTCCAATACTGGCCCTTGTCCAATTCAGAAATCGTGCCTGGTGCTCTGAGGTGGAAGCTCAGGAGAAGCTGGCCCTGCCTGCTGATGTAAACAGTATACAGAATTTTTTTACCCACAGACGGAAAAGCCAAGTAACTAGTGGGTCACAATGGGGGCCTGGATCGATAATTATACCAGGCTAGGCCACAATTTCCAAATCTAGAGGAAGATAAAAGCAACTGGACCAGCCAGCCCAGGGATCTTCCCTCATGAATCTCAAAAGCCTTGATGACCAGCCATTCCCTCCTACTATCCATAGCCTTGCAGGTTTCTCTTAACCAACAAATAAAGCTGGACAGCCGAGGCCCCTTACTATCAGCCTCTGGCCTGATAGCTGAGCCTCTGGCCTGTAACCCAGTCCAGTGTGCTGAGAGCTAAGGGGTTAGGGACTACTTGCTTGTCAAGAGGGCCTGGCTTGTGACTTCCATGCCTGATCACGAGCACCCTCTGCTGGTCCCTTTCTTTTCTTCTTTACCTGTGGGCCAAATACTGAACTGGCTACCTAGGATGCTGGAAATCTATTGATGGCATAAGTCACAAGGGATGGGGAGTGCTGTCTCTCATCCAGGCATTTCCACTAGAGGACTCTGGTCTTGTGTTAATTGGTTTGGAGCAAACTTGGACCTCCTTGTGTCACATACGTGTAGTCAGCATGCCATCTCAGCAAATCCCTGCTGAGGCCCCACAGTAGCAATTCCCAGGTCTCCATTTGTCTGGAGGTGCCACTGAGGAGCAGCCCTAAAGGACCCTCCTGTACCTAAGAGCCTTTAACACTCCTGCTGTCCTGCAACTCTCTGCAAACCTCAGTCACTGTGATTGGGCTATTCATTTACCCAGACTTCTTTAACAAGGCTGATGGTGGCTCAGAACTCAAGGCTTGTAGGACTAATGGTGGGATTTCAGGTTCCTTTCAGGCTAGAAGTGCTGGTGCACCTCACATCTTCCCACACATCTTTGCCCGTGTACATGTGGTTCCCACCTAATGCTGGGCACAGAACCACCGGAGGAACCAAGAAATGAGCCCAGCCTGGTGATACTCTCTGCAATGTGTCTCTCTTTTCCCCACAAAGGAGCACATCCTGATGAGAAATCAAAATCTAGTGGGGCTCAAGCTTCCCGAACTGAGTGAAGCAGCTGAGCAGGAAAAAGGTAAGTGTGCAGGGCTAGAGCTGGACTGTCTGCACTGTTCAATGAGGGTAAATGCATGAACCCTAGACTTCCTGTCAGCAAGCCTGACACTCACTATTTGCAGATGGTGTTTCCTGCCCATGTAGAACCCGTCTACTTCCCGCCAGCCTCCTCTGAGCGCTGTTGGCAACAGCGGGTCTGGAAGGTGCCCCATGCCTGAACTTTTGACATTGCCTTTCTCCTCACACCCAGGAAGCTGCATAAATGGACCAGTTCCTCTTTTTGGGTCCCCAAGGCCATCTCTTCCTAATATGCTGTCACCACAAAGTCCATACCCAAGACCAACCCCAATGGATGGATGCAAGTCCCTTCTTCCAAGCCACCTGCTCTCCACCTCCCCACCCATTTCCACCACATTCATCTAAAAATAGGAATAGGGTCCTGGCCCTCCTACACACTACTGATGGACCCAGCCCAACTCCCATCACCCTTGGCACTGTCCTCCGCTCAATGCAGCTACTGAGCCTCACTGCAAGTTACAACTGTCCAGCTAGAGTCCTGGCTCTGGCACTGAGCAGCCATGTGGCCTGGGAAGGCTACCTGATCCCTTGGTGCCTAATCTTCCTCTTCCCTACTACCACATGTGAAATAGAGCTAATCAGTGTTGTTTCAAACATTATCAGGAGCTGGGCATGGTGATATGTACCCATAATCCTGGCACTTATGAACTTGAGGCTGGAGGATCTAAGCTTTAGGCTAGCCTCTTCTATATATGGAGACTATCTAAAAGAAAACAAAAACAAAAAAGTTGTCAGGGAGATAAATGAAATAAATAAATTATATTCACATACCTGGAACATGCTAGTACCTGATATAGAATATCTCCAGCGTAGAAGATCTTAAGGCCCAATTTGTGCTTTGGGTGTAAGAAGGTAATGCACATGTGCGCATGCATGTGTATGCCTGAATGTATGCGTGCATGCATGTCTGTGTGTGTGTGTGTGTACGTGCACACGTGCACGCATCTGAGTGCATATGCCTGCGTGTATAGCTCTTCTTCCAAGGTATTCTGCAGTGTGTGGTGCTAGTAGGCCCTGAGATAGGATTTCTTGAATAAATAATGGGAGAAATTGTATAAAATGTGGCAGGGGGGACCAATAACTATATTTCCACAAGGAGTGAAGCTGCCTTCAGAAGGACAAGTCTCTTCAGGCCAGACTCTGTCCCTCCATCTTCCCAGAGGAGGACAGGCTCCCAGAGCCCACCAATCTGTAGCCTCTGTCATTATCCATGTCCTGTCTCCTTCCTGACCTGCTGTCACTCCCTTCTCTGAATTATCCCGTTCTCTGGGTAGGTCCTTCGAGCTCAGAAACATTCTCCTTTCCTTACTCTCTTTTGTATGTCACAAAAGCAGAATAGGATGTAGCCAGTATGCTCTGCTCCCTCTTTTGGTATTAATTCTTGCCTATGGTAAATAGGCATAACAAAGTTTACTGTTTTCCTATATGAAGCATAGCATTCAGTGGCATTAAGTATGTGATGTTGTACAAACATTACCCCATCCTTTTTAGACCTTTCATCTTCCCATACTGAAACTTGGCACCCATTAAACACCAGAGCACCTTTTTCCTTCCCCGTCCCTAAGGCGACCATTGTTCACTTTTGCTGCCATGAAGCTGACCTCTTTCTCCAGTTGCCTCATGCAAACAAGTCATATAATATTTCATCCTATCCTTTGAAATGTAGTCACATATATACACACCAGAGGCTAGTACTGGACTTCCAGTTCTGTCTTATTCTGATCAAAACGGAACTATTTTAATCTCCGCTTTAATAATAATATTTCTTACTTGGCAATGGGGTTAGTTCTCCCTCATTGCTATTTTTCAGAATATTTGTTAATATTCAGGATATAGAGATTTAGTATAAAGTAATAGAAAGAGCACCTGGACAAGAAGTCAAGAGATTTGAGGCCCAGGCATGGTGGCTCAAGCTTGTCATCCCAGCTACTTAGGAGATGGATATCTGGAGGCTTGTATTTTGTAGCTATGCTGGACAAAAAGTTAGCAAGGTCCTGTCTCAACCAATAAGCTAGATATGGTGGTTCACGTCTGTAATCCCAGCTACGTTAGAGCATAGGTAAGAGGATTGGAGTATAAGACTGCCCCAGACAAAAACATGAAACCCTACTGAAAAAAGAACTAAAGTTAAAAAGGGCTGAGTTGTGGTTCAAGTGGTATAGTACCTGCCTAGTAAGTATGAGGTCCTAAGATAAAAATCCCAATTCTAACAACAACCAAAAAACCCACCAAAACAACAAAAACAGAGTTGAATTTACGTCCCAGCCCCAGAAACATATGAATGAATCCTTAAATACGTTCCTTAGCCTCTCTAGAACTACATTCACATTTGAAATTTATTGCATTTCTAACATTTTAGTTGTCGTTACTCTAGCTATACATTGGATTCAGAAAGGACTGCCTGAATTTTGTTTGACAATTTATAGGCTTATAATTTTCAAACATTTACTTTTCATTCAGTCATATAGTTGGTCTTTCTGTTATTGTAACATTCCATTCTTTTGACTCTAAAAAAAAGGAAGGTATTTTGTTTTGTTTGTTTTTGAGTCTCTTGCTATATAGCACAGACTGGCCTCTAACTCAAAATCATCTCGTCTCTACCTTCCAAGTCTGGATTCCAGGCATGCACCATCATATCTGGCTTATAGTCCTTTGTATATGTCTCATGTCTTATGGCGCACAGTCTGTATGATTACTACTAGTAGTATGATTATCACAACTAGAATGATTACTAATGCCATACACTGTGCCAACCACTTGGCAGTATTGACTTAATGCTCACAATAACCTTGAGAATAGATTTAATACCTTCATTACAAACAAGAAATTTGAGGGTTTTGGAGGTTAAGATCATGTGTTTAAGCCGGGCACTGGTGGCTCATGCCTGTAATCCTAGCTACTCAGGAGGCTGAGATCTGAGGATCATGGTTCAAAGCCAGCCCGGGCAGGAAAATCTGTGAGACTCTTATCTCCAATAAACCACTAGAAAACCGGAAATGGCACTATGGTAGAGCACTTGCCTTGCGCTGAAGAACGCAGGGACAGCGTCCAAGCCCAGAGTTCAAGCCCCACGACTGACAAAAAAAAAAAAAAAGATCATGTGTTTATTAACTGCTGAAGCCAGGATTGGAATCCAGATGCATCTAACTTCAAAGGCTCTTGGCCACTTTGCAGAACACCTTTTCAGATTCACAATCACACCACCTGTCATTTTTTTTTCTGCAATTTTTTTTAAATTGTGAAAATACTGTACAGAGGGGCTACAATTACATGGGCAAGGTAATGAGTACATTTCTTATCAAGCATTGCAGCCTTCTCCTTTGTTTCCCCTTCCCATCCCTTCCCATCTCCCGCACCCCCCTCCTCCTTGGCCAAAGTTGTAAAGTTCATTTTTCGACATAGCAACTTGTATATCTCATTGTTGCAGTGGTCATTTTTATTTTTTCCAACTCATCACTTGTTTTTGTTACTCTTTGTATCCATATTTATTTTATTATTGACACAATTCATTAATTTGACAATATGATAAAGAGAATATCACTCTTCTCTTCCATTCTCTTTCCTTGCCTTTTCCTTCCCTTCCCTCTTCCTTCTCCTCCCTCCCTCCATTTTGAGCCCCCTTCCTTCCCATACTTCCTTTCCTCCTTCCCTTCTCCTCTCCTTCCCTCCATTTTAAGACCAGGTCTTGTTATTTAATAAGTAGGGTGGGAATTGGATATATCCCTTAGCTTCAATTTTGTGGATACTGACATAATCTGGTGCCCTTAACACATAGTAAGGGAGCTGGAGGAGATGATTGCTAATTAGACAACCGGCTGTGTCTCAGACTGGGCTCCATTCATGTAGACAGATTTTGGTGGGTTTCTAGGTGCCTTTCACATCATCTTTTTTGCTTAACAATAAACTTAAGACAATTTAACTTTTAATTAATATGGAAAGAACTTAATTTTTAAATATATTTTCCCCACATATCTCTTATGAATTTTTTCTTCTTTTTTGGGGGAAGGGGGGCAGTACTTGTACTCTGGGCTTGCTAGTTCATGAATGGTGTTCTACCTTTTGATTCCAGTCTGGTTTTTACTGGTAAATTAGAGATGGAATCTCACGACAGGGATGACTTTCAACCATGATCTGGATTTCAGCCTTCTGAGTAGTTAGGATTATAGTCATGAACCACTAAAGCCTGCCTTTCTTCTTAATGTTTATTTTGATTCTATTTTTTCTCTATTATAAACAATGGTATAATGAACATTCTCCTATATGTGTCTTCACAGAAATGTGTTTTGCTTTTTTTCTTTTCATTTATTAAGTAGTTGTACAAAGGGGTTTCAGTTCCATGAGAAATGTGTTTTTATACGGGCTACTGTAAATCCAATTGATTGATCAAAAGATATTTATCTTTAAATGTATACACATACTACCTAATCAGCTTATAAAATTATGCCAGTTTAGATATCCATTATCTACACACTATCAAATTTGAATAGAGAGTAAACTGAATCTTAGAAATGAAATTATCAGGTATGTGAATTTGACTGCTATGAACATCAAATTTCAAAAAGTAAATTAACCATGGTTGGTGTTTAATAAATGTATACTCCTTCCAATTTTCTCACGTCTAGCTAAGAGCTCAAGCTTCATTGTTTGCCAGCTGTAAAGCCTCAGGCAAGTTTCTTATTCTCTTGGCATCCCCATTTGCCCATCTAGATGGCTCCTACTTTGCTGGTGGAATGTTTTATGTGAAACTTGTCCTTAGATCAGCAAGAATCTGACATTCATTCTGATTTCCATCATGGAGGTTGTAGAACTCTATCTTGTCAATCAAATGGGACATTCTTGAATTTGGCACTCCACAGTGCACAGAACAGTGTTGAGGTGTGGTAGACAGCTAGCCATACTGTCAGACTACAGTCTGCAGAACTGTAACTTCCTTCTTTTACA